TATCAAAAGTTGCAGAACTACTAAATATCAAGCCCTCGTCAACCTTTTGCAAAAGCATGTGAATGTCACAGTATAGCGTTCCCATTCCGAGGTTTGCGGTATGACATTTTTCCTCCAGGCATAAATGTATGACTGAACACAGGTGTGAAGTCACACATCAACATTGACTTCTTCTCAAACCTCTGATCATTTACACATGCAAGCAGCAATCTTACACTGGTGTGGCATACTGTAAGGTAAAAGCAAAAAGTATTCACTGCAGATTAAGGCTGATTCGAGAACAGCGACTGATCCGACCCACTGAACAGAAGACTCATGCGGGAGGAGAAAAGAGCTCTAACGAAAGAGCATCAGTGAACATGCTGACACCATCCTGAGATTCATAAAAAGGTAATCCAGATCAGGTTTCTAACGGCAACAGCAATGACGGGCTGTGATTACAACAAGAATTTCTACATTGTCCTGAGCTGTAGTCTGGCTTTGCATTCATAACACTCCCGCAGCTATACAAATTACTGTGCATTCAGATACAGAGACTCAATAATGCATGGAAGCTACACTAGTAGTCGGAATATTTAAGATTAAAGGGATAGTTCACCCAAAAATGAAAATTTGATGTTTATCTGCTTACCCCCAGGGCATCCAAGATGTAGGTGACTTTGTTTCTTCAGTAGAACACATATGATGATTTTTAACTTTAACCGTTGCAGTCTATCAGTCGTATAATGCATGGCAATGGTAACAAAATACTAGTAATAGTAAAAAAAACATGCACAGACAAATCCAAATTAAACCCTGCAGCTCGTGACAACACATTGATGTCCTAAGACACGAAACGATCGGTTTGTGCGAGAAACCGAACAGTAATCAATGTTTTTGAAAGAAGTCTCTTATGCTCACTCTGCATTCATTTGATCAAAACTACAGTAAAACTAGTATAATAGTATAAAAACTGAATTATAATTTAAAATAACTGTTTTCTATTTTAACGTTTTAAAATATATTTTTTCCTGCAAAGTTGAATTTTCAGCATCATTATTCCAGTCTTCAGTGTCACATGATTTGGTGCTCAGTTATTATCAATTATTATTAGTGCTAAATTGTTAAAAATTATGCTTATTATTTTAATCTTTGAAAACCGTTGTTGCTGCGGTGGAATATTTTAATTTTTTTTATGAATAGAAAGAAAAAAAAAACTGCAGTTACTTTTGTAACATAATAAATGTCTTTACTGTCACATTATTTTGTTTAATTTAATTTATTGCATCCTTGTTGAATAAAATAAATCATTTCTATTTTTTTAACCACAAACTTTTGAATGATAGTGTATCATGGTTTCTTCAAAATTATTAATCAGCACAGCTGTTTTCAACATTGATAAAAATAAATGTTTCTTGAGCAGTAAATTATGATTGGCATATCAGAATGATTTCTGAAGGATCATGTGATACTGGAGACTGGAGTAATGATGCTGAAAATTCAGCTTTGCATCACATGGATAAATTACATTTTAAAATATATTCAAATAGCAAACAGTTATTTTTAATAAAATTCCACAATATTAAAATTTTACTGTATTTTGCATTAAATAAATGCAGGCTTGGTGAGCATTAGAGACTTTACATTTACAAAAAACATTTAAAATAAAAAGGCACCCCCTTAGCTGTTATAAATTCACTGTAAACCACGGCTTCACGGGGCTTATTGCTTTTATAAAACGGTTATTCCATATACGTAGTAAGGTTTCACAAAATAAAACAGAGCAAATAAAGTGTAATGATATTAATAAAAACAGTATTCTTCCACCAAACAATGTAGTTCCTCAGAATCAGTTGTGGTTGCAACAAAGTGGTTGCCAAGCAACACACAAACGTAAACAAAGGTGTATGTTTGTAGAGTAATTTACAACAGCTTCAAACGTGGCTCAGCCAATCAGAATCAAGGTCCGGAACTATCCGTTTTATAATTCTAATTATTCTACATTTTTGACCATTAGGGTACATACAAGACTTTCATATTCATTCATAATAATTTCAAAATTACCTGAAAAGCTGCTATAGAACTGAGAATATGCATGTGTTCCTCTACCTAATTTAATTTGTGTGTGGAAAATGCCACAGCATGAAGACCACATAGCATTGGACACTGGCAAGCTCAAATAACTGGACCTGCGTCATAGGGGCAGTTTCCCTCTGACACACTTCAGCGCGCTGACAGGACCGATGCGGCACTTTGAGCGCATACGGGTCCGTGATGTTCAGTCGCATACTAACTGATCAACTTGTTTTCTCAACTGTTTGTGATGTCAGAAAGTCTCAATTACTCTCCTATTTCAACCTGACAAAAAATTTAATTATCATTTTCAGATCCAGGGTTTGTTTTTGCGATTTTTGTCTGATAAGCTCTGATACGGTCTCACGAGCACAATGAGCATACTGTATATACAAGCATGCACACACACCTTACACGCAAGCGATGCACTTTAGTGGCAGCAAGAATATGTTGTTTGTATATGGGCTGGAGATCGACAGACTGACAGAGGAGTCTTCAAAGCCAGAGAAACACTGAACTGGGATCAGATAAGACTGCATTTCTCAGACTGGTAGTTGAGAACAGTGTAACAGTGAGAAACACAACACAGACAGTCAATATCTTGTCTGATACACTCAACCGCAACTTCCTGAATGCAGTTGTGCACTGTCTGCTGGTGACTGTGTGTGCCAGTTTTAGCCTTAAAGTACCGTAATAGCTAAACTAACATCTACTGATATTAACAAATTGAATAAAGGGGAAAGTTGTCACACATAGATGTTGGCTAGATCTCTGAAACTATAAAGGCGAGGTGACATTCGTGAATTTTCAGCTCAATTTTGTACTTCAAAAGATGTCCATTGTCCACTGTCAATAGTGTAGTGATAGACAAAGTAAAACTCACACAGAAGTCATTTTCAACGCAGTGAATTTGCGTGAAAAACTTGAGCCTGATATGAAACCTGTGTGGGGAACTTCTTCATCCTTAAAAAAATTTCAGATTCCATTGATTCCTATTGAAATTACTGGATTTTGCCGGCAAAATTTCATTATCAACGGTAAATGTGACCGCAACTTAGGTTACGTTCACATGGTGAGCCTTATTGCTGCTCAATTCTGATTATTGCTCAGATCCATTTGTATAGCTGCTCACATTGTTGTTTTAAATGTGGCCAATATCAGATTTCCAGTGTGAACAGATCATGGTTCTGAATTGACCCGCATGCCCAAAAGAACAATGCAAACAGGGTTGCCAGGTTTTCACAACAAAATCCACCCAATTGCTTCTCAAAACTAGTCCAAAACTAGCCCAGTCGTGTTCTGGGGAGGTAAATATCGTGTTAGTGGGGTCACTTTAACCCACAGAGTTGAAAAACAACACGCGGCAACAGTAGTTGCCAATTACTAATTCTGCGGGAAAACTGTGGACTTGGCAACACTTGAGCTGTCATGCGGAAGTAAACACGGAGGACATAAAAGTAAGCGATTATGTGTTTATTTATAGTGTGATCTGGCACAGAAGCCAGCTAAATTTTGTGCAGGCAATATGAAAAATAAAGACAAGGATGTGACAGAAGAGAGCAGAGTTTTGAAACTTTTATACGAGCCCTCATGTTTTGCTTGCAAATAGAGTCACTGTAATACTTGTGAGTTTTGACACATTACTGTACTTCCACTGACTACCATTCGCAACTGTCTTGATAACTTTGGGTATGTAAAATCTTTGAAGTGACTCCCTTGAGTGCAGAATCGTGACAAATATTGATCAAGAGTGACATAAAAGTCACATGAATTCAGATTTGACTGTTCTGACTGCAGTTGCACTGCAAAACTGACCTGTATCGGATTTAGTATCGGAATTGAATTGGAATTGAAAAGATCAGATTCCATGTGATTTGTGCTGTTCACACTGTCATGAGAAAAACAGATCACATGTGAGCAAAAAAAAAAAATCGTCTTAAAATTTGCACTTGCACCAGATGTTGGATAAACCTGTCAACACAATAAAACCATGCTATTCGGGTAAGATTTTAGATCTTAAATGGAAATTCTGTCGTCATTTACTCATGATGATGAGTCATGTTGTTCCAAACCCGTTATGCGTTTCTTTTTTCTTTTGAACAGAAGACATTTTGAAGAACGTTTGTATCCACAGTTGCTAGTAGCCACTGACTTCCATAGTATGGAAACAATACTATGGAAGTTAATGGCCACCAGCAACTGTTCGGTTACCAACATTCTTTAAAATATCTTCTTTTGTGTTCAGCAGAAGGGAGAAATTCATACAGGTTTGGAACAACTTAGGGTGAGTAAATAAAAAAAAAAAAAAATTCATTTTTGGGTGAACTATCCCTATAACAAGAATGTTTTGCATGTAAGGTCAGGGCACTTTGTCACATTTTAGATGTTCATTTCATACCATTGTTTGCTGAAAAGCCTGTTTTATGGTTAGCCATTTATAGTTATAGTTATAGATAGTCATTGTGACAACTTACCCCATATAGTTTGTAAATAAACTATATCTTATTTTCATGTGCGATAATGGTTGAAATTTTAAATCGTTTCTTTTTTCTTTGTGCCTATACAGATATTGACTTTCACAAAGTAAACCTACCCCGAGAAATGTTTACTGCAGTAAAAGTGTGACAGCTATTCCAAGTGTTACCATACATGGTCCAAACAAAAGCAATATTTCACCCAAAAACTATAATTCTGTCATCACTTTCTCCACCCTCATGTCATTTCTAACCTGTATGACTTTCTTTATACTGCTAGAAGGCATATTTTTGAATATTTCGAAGCATGTTTTTGACAATTTGGTTACACCATTGACTTCCATTGCTTCGCAAAATATCTTCTTTTATGTTCCACAGAAGAAAGAAAGTTATAGTTTTGGAGCCACATGAGTAAATTAAAACAGAATTGTCATTTTTAAGCACAGATATGCCACCTCATCGCCTCTCACTCACCTTGGTGCGGCCATTTATGACATAATTCCCCAGCTGTCCATTGGCCGCACTGCGCATGACGGCCTCATCAAGGTGAGCCATGAGGCTTCCAATGTTCTCGCAGCCGGGCTCGTTGCCTTCGACCCAGGCTATCTGGTCTCCACGGATGTTCTTAGATGGGATGTTTTTTTTGCTGACCAACTGGCCTCCTCTGAACTTCCCGCTGTTATTTAAAGTCTCCACTTCCTCCAGAACCTTACTGCCCAGTCGATCGCCCAGGAAGCCATCTTTGACACAAATGCCGTAAAACTTCATAGAAGGAACTATGTACTGCTGAGCCATGTGCTCTGGAGACCAGCCTGCACTGGTGGCCACCGCAGGCAGCGTGGACCGCACCTCGGCCTGGCCAGGGGATGCATGGTTCACTGCAACTTTGTGCCCACTGTGATGGACCCAACCGGGGGATGACATGGAGCTGGGAACGCCACTGTTTTTGTGTTGGTAATTGGTTGCGAGGGGCGTAACAGCCCATGTGCTTTTACTAGAGTCTGTTCTGGAGTCCGTTTCAAGCCTCCTCCTTTTGCATTCAAGCGGAGGATACGGAGGGTCGTGGGACGTTTCTGAAGAACCGCTAGATCCAGATCCCATTGTGGGACAACCACCATGGGCCCCAAAGTCTCGGTTTTCCTCATCTTTTCTGCTCTGGTGCAGGAGTTGTCTGAATCGCACATCTCCACAAGGCTTATTCAAAGGCCTGTCCCCATTAGCTGTGGGTCCCCCATTGGGGGTCTCCACTAGTCTATTTAGATGTAAACACCCGCTGTGCGTCTGCGCAGGCACACATTGATAACTTTCTTCTGCTGTAGGTGAAGGGGATACCACTCCACCATTATACAAAGGCAAGCAGCTCTTGGACTCCTTCAAAAGCTTGATCCCGGATCCAGATCTAGACGCATGTCCTGCCAGCAGCTCCTCCGCCGTGGTCGCGTTCAGACCCATTGTACTCACCGCGTGAGACTCACAACAGCCATTGGTGACTCTCTCTTGCGGTGAACAGATACTCTGGCGTGCCTGTGTATTTAACAGGTCCGTGTTTTGCAGTCTCTCCATGTCATGTCGTCTACTCCTGGATGCGCACGTAGCTCACGTCCAATCTTCATTTTCTGCAGAATCGGCTCTGCTCATGCCTTCCTGGCGGCGCTGTTATCACGAAGCTCCTCAGTAAACTCTCACAGCACACCATAAAAACGGTCCTTTTCTTCGGTTTATTAGTTGTTTATAACAGAATTAACTATTTTCCATGGCTGTTTATTTCCTGGGCACGGGTTTATGAGCGTCTAAAGACATCGGTTAAAACATTATTAAAAAACATCACTAAAACATTATTAGGCACGTTAAAACTAACGCACATTATAAATCTGCCCAGTCATACTCTCTATCATTTTAATAATGTCATATAGATAGATTAAATGTAGTGTAATGAAACAACAATAATAATAACAGCTAATAAAATTATATTAAACTTTTGGCTGATACTGAAAGAAATACATTTATCTTCAGAACAAAGTCCAGACCGTCATAAACCAACATAAGATAAAACGATTAATTTAAAAAAGGACGTGTAGGCTATATATACCGAAAATGACAAATGTTAAAATAATTATATTTAATTAATAACAGATGGGCCCGTGGATAAAATATTAATAAAATGTGTGCAATAAAATATATTTGTAGATGCATATATTTTTAATATACAAAGTTTGAACGCCAAAAGCTTCTAAAATATATTTTAACAAAAAATGACGATGTACGTGAAATAAAACATAATTAAACCGGTGAAATTACCATTAGTTTAAGACATATTGCTTTAAATATTTAGACTATTTGTATAATACTATGCATCATGGTAAACTGGTAATATTACTTGTCTGTTTATAAAGTTAAACCAAAATCTTAACTACGAGGATAGAAATATTGCCGTATTTTGGCTTAAGTTACTGTAGCTACTTACCTTTAGACGGTAAAGCCACTATAAAGACCAGCAGCGATAATAAAGAATTTCCAGTGTCCGCTCGCCCATTCCAGATGGCACAAAATAATTAAAACACCGTTTTCACAGGCAACACTGTAATTTCTGTGCCTACAATCCTTGATGAACAAAGAGTACGAACGCTTCGTATCTGATAAAACACTGTGCGGCTGGTGAAATTACACATCCTACTATGGCCAAGGCCTATCTCATTAATATTAATTTTGCATGCTCATGAAGCGTCCAATCAAGCAACCTAATAAATATTAACGAGCCTAGTCTTACCCATAGTGGGATTAGTAAACTCGCTTCCGGGTGTGACAGCGCGCCCCTCCCTCTCCTTCTCTCTCTCCATGAGCGGCTCTGTCACTTACACGTGCGCACCGTCGCATCACGTGACCGTGACCGCCACAATAACAACAGCGGCTCATCAGAATGTCACACAAAATGTAGACATACGTATGAAATAATTCGTTCAAATGTCTATATATATTAACCTATATATATATATATATATATATATATATATATATTATA